AAGAAAGTGCCTGGTAACGTTGCAGCTTCATCCAGCCCAGTAAAGAAGCTGTCAAGGCAGAGACATTGGTGCCTTCCTACTTTCCCCTTTGTGCTCTTTCTAGGAATCTTGAAGGTGAATGGTAGCAGGGAGGTCTCCTCTCGTCTTAATTTCCACTTTGGTTTGCAGCGCCTGGGTTTTCTCCGTGCTGCTCTTGGCACGGGGATGTGGGCTGAAGGTGTGGGAACGCCTGTGAGGGTCCCAGAGCTTCCTTTTGCTCCTCGAGCCTCCTGGAGGCTCCTTGGCCTCGCTCTCTTGTTTAGTCTGGTTGAACTCAGCGCCGTAACTCGTGTTGTCTTCGGTGGGATGGTTGATAGGTGATTCATCCAGGCTGCCGTCCGCAACTGCTGGGCGCTGGCACGGGACACAGTGGAAGGACTGAGGCAGACTGAGGCTGTTGGATGCTGAGAGTGAGCGGTCTGAGCCTGCTCCCATCCATTTCCATTCCTCAGTCCCTGTTCCTGCCCGTCTGAGCCTCCTGCCACGAGAAGTGTGCCTCGCTCAAGAGCAGGTTGCCAGCTCAGCCTTGCAGACAGGCAGCTGAGCCAGGGCTGTCCTCCTCCTCCTCTTCCTCCTCCTCCTCTTCCTCTTCCTCCTCCTCTGGAGTTGAGTTCCGAGGTGGCTGTCCTGGAGTGTCACCAGTGGGTTGACCCCTGGCCAGAGCTTGTGTGGCCAAGGAGAAGTTTGCAAAGCTTCCCAAAGTGGGGCTGACCCTTTCTGCAAACTCAAAGCGTGCTGTTACTTCCCTCTGTTTTAGGGAGAGCCACTCCACCAGAGTCAGTGTATGAGACATTTAGAAAACCAAAAAGAGGAGACTTTTCCAAACTCCACAGCTGTGTCTGTGGATGAGGAAGAGGCGGTAGCAAGGAGTTGCACTAGAGAGAGAAGGAAAATGCCACCTGGAGGGAGCTGCATCTCCCCAGCAGTCATTAGTAGAGCAGAGATTGATTTTCAAAAGCTACCTTGGGAATGGGATGGTTTGGGGCAGACCAGTCCTGGGAAGGCAGGAGCATGGAAATGAGGGAGAAGAGAATCTTGTAGGGATATTACCTCCTTGCAGTTAGGAGTGTCAGCATCCCATTACTGCCCCATAACCTGTAATCAGTGTGCAGCAAGTAGCATGTTTTGCTCTGTGCACAGCACTTTCCATCGTGATGTTGAGCTCTGCTCTGGGTTTTTTACTGCTGAGAAGTGAACACAGGTGAGGCATCCTCAGAGGAGCCAGTCATTTGTCCTTGATATCTGTAACAGCTTATTGCTTTATTTAGTGTGACATCAATTATTTATTACTATTAATGAAGGACACAGATGGCTGTCTGGTCAATAAAATATCTCCTACTCCACAGAGATGATCTATTTAGCTATCATTTACTCTGCAGAGAACCTTTGGATTCTTTCTGAAATTTAATAATGTGAGCAGAGATACTATGGCAATCTAGAAGGTTTGTGCTTCAGGGCTGCTCTGGGAGGCTGAAATCCTTCTTTATATTTGCTGGCGGGGTGTGTGAGAACACAAGTCCAGACGGGAAAGAGAAGCCCCTTTGCTTTCCATCACAAGCTACTTATCCATATAATCCCTTTTATAAAGTGATCAAGCTCCTTCTTAAAAGATAGTTGGGTTATTTGCCCTTCTCAGGAGTAGACCATGTATTCATATCAAATTTGCTTCCTCTTGCCATTACTGCCCATTAGCCTAACTATTTCTTTCCCATCTGAGTGCCTGCCCTTTTGATGTATTCACAGATGTGTGTCTCTGTTTGGCCTTTTTGTCCTGCTTGTGTGGTAAATTTGAGCTTTCTGTTCTTTCCCTGTGAAGATTTGTCTCCTGCTTTCCCTGTGCCTTGGTCTTAAGCACAGTGGAGCAACACTGCACTGAGCTCTCACTATGGCCTCATCCATTTGTTCAGTGTTTCTCTACTGCTACAACATCCCAAGACTTTTCCTTGGTTTAGAGATCAGTCATGTGGGCCAAGTGTTCAAGGCCAGGTTGGACAGGGCTTGAAGCAATCTGGGATAGTGGAAGGTGTCCTTGCCCATGGCAGGGGGTGTGGAATGTGATGAGCTTTAAGGTCCCTTCCAACTCAACCATTCTATGATCATCCTCTCACCACTCCAGCGAAAGCAGCTGTTGCCTTAGTTCCATTCCACTGACAAGGTCCCAGTCTAAATCTAGAGAACAACTCATTTTCTGCTCCCAGGGAAGGCTTGGGAAATTTCATTCCAGCTGCTCTCAGTGCACTGTGGACTGAACAGACTCTGACTTCTCTCGTGTGAGATGAACAAACACAGTCACTGTGTGCTCTGCTTTGCCGTGGGGACAGCTCAGGATGGCAGATCACTGACTGCAGATTGACAGCTCTGGGTAGTTGGTTTGTCCCTGGGGTGTCCCTACCCTGTCTTTGCTCCGTGGTCTGTGCAGTCTGGCACCACCAACAATCTCACTGCTCCTTATACAGGTGCAGAAAAGCTCCCAGCCTTGGGGCTGAGGTTTCAGCACCTTTGCATCTGTTTAGCTGTTTTCATAACAACCTCCTTGCTTTTGTTTATTTATTATAGCAGGGCCAGCGGGAGGGGAGAGTTCCCCAGAGGCTCAGGATAAGAAAGACCATGGAAGATGAGCACTCAGAGCTCTTAGTGCCTGCCTTAAAGAGAGTTAGCTGTGCAGTTTTGATCATAGAATGGTTTGTGTTGGAAGGGACCTTAAAGATTGTATCGTTCTAACTCCCCTGACATGGGCAGGGACACCTTCCACTAATCCAGGTTGCTCCAAGCCCCGTCCAACCTGGCCTTAATACACACTTTGATTCAGTGGTTGCACATGACCTTTCCCATCTCATTTCCAGTCTCCTGCAAGTCTGGTTCCACCCTCAGCCCATCCCATCTCTTGTTCTCCCTGGCACAGATGTCCTGGCTGATGCTCCTACCCAGGAACTGCCCTGTCCAAATCTCCCCTTGGTCTTGCCCAGCTCTCATCACAGTCTAGCTGCCCAGCTCTTTTCTTTCCTACCCCTCATCAGCTGCTTCCCAACTCTAAATGCTCTGGAGGAAGGCATGAGATCCCATAGCAGGATGGGATCCCTGTGAAGGTTCTTCCTGGTCAGAAGGGAGGTTGCTTGAGGTCTGAAAAGCCTTAAAACTTCTTGCTCTACTTCAACAACACATACTGTTCCTTCTTTGCTATGTGTTTGTGATTCATCAGGTTTGTAAGTCACGGCAGTGTCTGTTCTCAATGACTCCTGGTGACAGGGAGTTCCCCAATCCAGCCCAGCACCGTAGGAAAAGGGATGGAAATGAAAGTTGGAAATGAGCAATAAGGCTTTGTTTGTTTGCTTAAACCATAAACCTAGAGCTGAGGGGACTTGCTCAAGGCCGGGCAGCACTCATGACTTCCAAGCAGTGATTTTACTGCTGCCAACCCAACCTGCCCGTTGAGTTGACTCGGGATTTGCTGCGGACCTGGGGCCGGGAGCTGGGTTGAGCTGCAGAGACCAGTGACAGAGCTGCCTGAAAAAAGTTTGGAAAGAACAAGTCGTGCTGGGAGCATTAAAATGAATAATTAAGGCTTGGATTCCTTCGGGGAGGAAAAGAATTTATTGCTGCTCTTTTCTCTAGCCAAGGGGGACATTTGTTACTGAGTTGTGTATTTTGAGACAAGACGCAAATGCGGTTTGGGGGGCTGGGGACAAGGGGATTTTTTATTCTACCTGGCTAATCCAGCCTCACAGTGGAACATTTTGAGCTGGTTGTACCACTGGGTTGTTCCTTATGGTCTGTACCGAGAACCTGGACTCTTGCTGAGTTTCAGAAGTCCTCAGTCACTTTTGCTTTTAGTAAAATAGAGTGCTGAGAAGGGAATTCTCCTCTTCCCTCCACTGTGGTTGTCTTGACATTTACACACGCACAAGGCACAGCAATCTGGGCCCAGGTTTGCTTACACCAGCACAACTCTATCAGCTGCAGCAGCCCTTTCTCTGATTCCCATCACTGGGAATGGGGGCACAACCAGGGCAGCTGCTCCGTCTTTTTTTTTCACTCCATGGTACCTTGGGCTTTCAGTTACACCGGTGTGAAATGGGAATTAAAGGCAGTGAGCTCTAACCGATAGACAGCCTGCCCACTGCCAGGAGACAGGTTGCACAGCAGTGGATAGTCATGCCCAAAAAGTTTAATAAATCGAGCGTTTTCAGTTTCAACTGGGTCATGATCTAAGTGCTTAATGAGCTTTTTAAACCAGAAGACCAAAAAGAAAGGGTTTTTTTTTTCAGTATTTTTAATTAGTAGGTTTCTTCGAATGCTTAATAAAGAACCAAGTGTTGTTGAGCACAGCTGAAGGAGTTCCAGTCAGAGCTCCAGGAGCTGGCAGAGTGCACATGAAAGGGAGTGCAAAGCTACTGACTGTCATTGAATTAAAAAAAAAAATAATCCAGCACATCGAGAAAAATTCCATCCCAACTCTAAAAATGTCTTTTTTTCCTGCTAATCTAACGTAGCAGAAATACATTTTGCTGAGGCAGGTGATTTTTGGAAAAGGCCAAGCCCTGTTTAAGAGCTGAACATGCAGCAAGGGCAGGAGCGCCCTGTTTAGCCAGGCTTCCAACTCTCCTGGGTCCCTGGAGCTCATCCTTGGATGGTGATCCTGCCTGCAGTGTCTGCAGTGAGTGCACAGGTTCTCTCTGCATGCTGTGAGTGCACCCATTGCTGTCCAAGCAGTGAGTTGGCCCTGGCCCCAGCTCCTGCAGTGGATCCCTGCTACAACTTGTGGCCCAGGTGTGTCTCTTACTTGCTTTGTCCATGGGTGGCATTGTCCTTACAGACTTGGGGCATTCCATAGCCACAGCCAGCTGGAGTCTGTTGGCTGCCTGTGCTGTGCAGAGATGTTCCTGCAGTGATTTTTAAATGGTCAGCAGTAATTTTGCACCTGTAACTGATGTTCTGGTCTTGCTCATCTCTTTGCCCTCCAGGAGAATCCTTGAGCTTTGCGGATGATTTACTTTCTGGCCTCGCAACCTCCTGTGTGGCAGCGGGTCGGAGCCACGGAGACGTCCCTGAAACCAGCATCTATTCAGTCATTTTCAAGTGCCTGGAACCAGATGGTCTGTACAAGTAAGGAGAGGCGTGTGGGGAGGTGCTGGGGGCAAGGAGGGGTCTCCAGTGCTGTTATTTAACTTTTATTCACCATTTTGGTCAGCACTGTAACCAAAAGTGTCCAATTTGTGTGCACTATACGCTGGGAAAATGTTGAGACTCTTCCTGTTGCTTTGGGTGTTACACTCGGCTGGTGAAATGGAAAACCAGTGTCTGCCAGTACAGAGCTGGAGGCACTGGGAGTCAGTGGGAGACTCCAGAATAACCCCCAGTTTCAGTATTCTGGGCTTCCAGGTCTATGCTTCATGGGCAGGTTTGTCTCTCATGGATGAACTGAGCTGATGAGGTCAGACTGGGGCAAGTTGCTGAGTGCCTGGTGGGCTGAAATAGATGTCAAAATTGTGATAGGTCCTTCTATAAGTTTCTGTTCCTGTTATCAGGACACATATAGCAGAGCAGAGACCAAATCCCTCTGCCCACCACCCAGTTATTTTGGCAGGGATGGCTGGTCATGCCTGTGCTGATATTATTGTACACTTGACTCTTCTGAGATATTCTTTGAGCACATGGGATTGGATTTGCTCTTTCAATCCTGTGCAGTAATTAGTTTCCAAAGCAAAGGGAAAATGTCAGGATCTGAATTTTAACTTCTTCTTCAGTGCTGTTTGGAGAGGATCTGGGCTTTCCAACCTGGCTCGTTAGCCCGGGCATCCCCTTTCTCTAGAGGGACATCAGGAGTCAGACCAGTAAGAGAGGAAAAATAGAGAAAAAAAGGCAAGGAGACAGAGGAGAGACAGAGTAAGCAAGAGAGAAACACCCAGGGCTTAATGTCAGAGTGACTGTAATAATTAAAACACATTTTGTAGTGAGTAATGAAACTTTTTATGGGACCACAAAAGCATTTAAAATGAGAGCTGGCAAATAGTCTGTCAGCGAGAACTTTTTAAGACCTTGATTAATACTTTCCCTTTGCCTCCCCCTCCACCACCCCCAGTTAAGTATGTTGACAGCCTCCGAAGCCTTTATTGCGCATCCCTGGAGCAGGGCTGTCTGCCGGAGCGGGCTCCAAGTGATACCTCTTGCCATTTAACAGTTTCAAACGTTTTCTTGTTAAATATCTATAACACATAAATATAATTATTAATATCTCTGGGAACCGGGGCTGCTCTGAAGAGGTGCCAGGGAGAGGCTGGAGCGACCGCAGAGCTCGTTAAGAACCCGACGCCCATAAAAGCAGCCGGTTGGGAGCTCTCAGCCGCTCGGCTCCCGGCTGCCAGGGGTGCTGGGAGAGGGAAGAGCCCCTGGGTTTGATGGAAGCTGCTGCCATGGTGAACACACTGAGCTGGGAGCCAGCAGGTCTGGCTCTTGGGCAGCCCGGGCTGCCAAATCATCTTCCCCATCTGCCAGGCGGGGATAATTGCGCTCACCCATCGCTCGAGGGGCTCTGTGATCTAATTCCTGATGTCTGCAAAGGGCTGGGAGAGCCTTGGGTGGAAGGCAGAGGGCTTTGTCCAGGGTTTTGTCATCCCTGTGGTCAAAGCCAGGCTTCTGCTTCCCAGTGGTGAGGCACATTGCCATGGAGGGGGTCAGCAGAGCGGGTGATGCCTCGTGTCCTGGGGGTGGCTGTGGGCAGCTCCTGCTCTGTGGGTGCCCCTGGCTGAGGGACAGTAGCGTTTGTGGGGAACTGTGGCTGCAGCCAGCCAGCAGGCAGCAGTCCCCCTGGCACCAGGGAGCTTTGGACCCCATCCTGTGTGGAGATAAGCCCTGGGGTGACACACACTGTTGGCTCTGTCCCACAGCTAATGCTCAGCAGGGCTTGTCACGCCGTTCCCAGGGCTGGTGCACGCATGGATGGACACATGTCCATGTTGGCACCTCTGGGGCTTGGACATCCAAAATAAGTGCATGTAGGCACTCTACAGCCCACCCTGCTCAGTGCCTGATGCTGCCCCAGCACAGCAGCCTGGACAGATGACCCCCTGCCCCACAAGTTTCCATCTGTGCCGTGGGTGCTCCGCATCCAACACACACACGTTTACTCCAACCTGGGACCCAAGCAGCACGTGTTTACTGAGCGTTCTCAGATAGGCAGGCACCCACTTTAAATATTCCTCTGCTCAGATGTCCACACGGTTGCAAAACAGCGTGAAGAAAGCCAGAGCAGTGAAATGTGAGGCTAATGCTGCTCTGCGCCCGCACAGACGGAACAACAGCACAAACACGGGCACGGGGTCATTTCTTAAATTGAATTTCTTCTGCTTGTTTCATTTGTTTCTGTGGAAAAATAGCTATCTTGGAAGGCTCCGGGCTGGGTATAATCCTGATTATAGCCACTTGCAGGGCCTTGTGCTGTTCTCTAGGCTGTGAGGTGAGCACACAGCCTGCAGCATCAGAGCTCTTCAAAAACAAAAGTGATTTGCTTGTGCAGTAGTCTGAGGGCATCATGTAAACCAAGCATGTGAGATCATAGAAGTCTCTTCTGCTCTGTAAATGTGTCGGACATCCCGTCCCTTTTCTTCTGTGGTACCTACAACAATTACACTCTGCTGTGGACCATTTGTTTGGAGTATTCCCAGCCTGAGATCAAAGCTGGGCTGGAGTATGAAAACAATCCCAAAAAATTCTCTACAAGCAAACAAATAAACAGAGTCTGATTGATTCCTCTGCTTTTGAGACTTCTGTAATTCCAAAACATAAACAAACAAAAGGAGAACTAATTTCTTTGTAATTTCAGTCTGACTGAAATATGTTGCCTGTCAGCCCTTTTCTTCCCCTTGCTTGTAGCACAGTGGGGTTGAGATGCCCTGTCCCTGCCCAGAGGGTTTTCCAAGGAAAAGTAGGTTGTGTCAACAGAGACACATGTGCTCCATGGGCTGGTGTACATGTGTGGACACCCCTGATGGTCTGTCCCACATGGATGTCCATCCATGGGGATCCATGCTGCAGTCATGGGAATGAACTCATGTGCACACACACAGAAATAATGAGGATGGTCCTTGAAGGCTGTCGAGTTTGCTTGAAGCTCCTAAAAAGTAGAAGTCTTATATTCCCGTGAAATGCATCACAGGAGAAGGGATTGCTCTCCCCCAAGGGCAGTTGGACCAGAGCAGTCTGTCAAGCTTCCTCCCAGGTGGATCTGAAAGCGGATTGGGGTGAGGAGGGCAGAGGTAGAGATGTCTGTGTGTCTGTTTTGTGCTCACCTGGCCAGGACCAGCCAGTGCCACTCAGACTGATGCTTTGGGAGCCTGGGAGCACCATGCTGTGACAGGCTCTTGTGATAGACCAAGCACTAAGCAAGAGTCAGGAAAAAGGGCACTGGCTTTTCTCAAAGGTCAGACTCAGCTTGGAGGACTGAGCACCCTCCAAACCCATCTGATCTCTTCACTGAGGAGACAGGAGCTCCCCCTGTGCATCCCACAGCCTCTGCGAGCCTTCAGCTCAGCTCATCCATCCCAGCTCCTCACCCAGGCTTGAGCAGTGCCTGGGGATGCCTCATCCCTGAGCTGTACCTGCTCAGATGCTGAAAGCAGCTCTGCCAGCCCAGCATGTTTATTTCAGATACCAAGTATCCCTCAGCCAAAGAGGGAAATTTTGGAAAGGGAGGCGAAAAACCCCCTCCAGCTCCTCAATGGAGCTGCAGTGCAAACACACCAACCTCTTCCCTGCGCCACAGATACTATAATTATAGATTAGATTAAATCCCAGTGTTTCACTTTATTTACATTCCTGACCTAGCCTATTCATTTCCAGTGTTTGTGCCAAGAATCAGTGCAAAATTTACTGGAAATAATATGGAAGTCATCAGGATTCCTTCCAGAGCCTTTCCTTGGAGTGTGTTCATGTGCTGAGAAGGAGCCTCGACTTTACATTCCCTTTTCTGGCTCAGATGGGGCTTCCCCAGGGTGATCCTGAACCAGCCCAAAGGCTCTGGGAGAGCATGTTTCAGGGGTGTTGGAAAAGTGGAAACCCTTTCCCAGGGGATGGAGATCTGGGACTGCTGTTGGATGGAAGGGGATTCAGTCAGACCTGAGAATGACAACACAGGGGCTCCTGTCTGCAGCCAAGACCAACCATGTCCTGCCCAACCAGAGTCATCCTCTGTAGGGTCTGCTGGTCACTGCCAGTGTGTCCAGACTCAGCCTCTGTCATCATATGCTAGGATAACACCAAACATCTTTTTTTTTGTGAGCTAAAAGAAAGAGGCAAAGGTGTGGAGTAGGGAGAATCCATCAGAGCACAAAGAGGCAGAGACTGCAGTTCCACAAGCTGAATGTGCTGGAGGAGCTGGCCCGGAGCAAGGCTGATTAATGCTGAGTGGCCTCTGCCTTGTCACTCAGCTGGGATAAAAAGTGGAATGGAAACCCTTGGTGCTCAAGAGTGTGTTAATGCTGGCAGCAGTCTGCTGCTCCTTATATGATACTAATTGTTATTGTTGGTCTCTCGTCAGGAAGACACGTGAATGAGCGCCGGAGCAATTGGAGGCAGATTCCAAATAGCTCAGTGGCATGGGTTAAAACACATCTGTTCCAGCCCTTGGCCGAGTCCCCTGTGTGCACAGGAGCTGTGCTGCTTCATTGAATCCACCTCTCCTATTCCTCATGCTCTCCAGCTTCCCAAAGCCGAGCAGTGTATGGCTGTAGTTTCTCCTCAGGCATTCCTGGCTTGCGGAAGCTCAGACACGGCAAGTCAGGAGTTGAACAAGTGTTTGCTAAATCCCAGGCCTGTGTTCCAAACGCAGGCTCGTCCTTCCCCAACAGTTCAGGGCTGTGTCAGAACCAGGCTGGCTTGGCTGTGTGGTTGTTTTTGCTGAAGTGAGTCCATCGAGGAGTGGTCTGGGCTCCTCTGGGCTGTGTGTGGATCCCTACCATGGAGGGGGAGTGGTCCCATGAAAGATGGTCTGTACAGGGAGGTCAGGGGCTCAGCAGGAGGTAACCTCTCTCTCTGCAGTGGTATTAATGAAGTCCCCTGCATGGAGGCAGGCTGGAGTCCTGCTGAGGTTCCCAACATTAGGAGGATACACATCTAAAGCCCGTAGAGAAGACATCCATGCTTTTTTCATGGCTAGTCAAATCTGAGGGCTCTTCCCAACTTTGCCATTTGCTCTGCTCTGGATGGGACCCCATGTTCCAAATGCTGGAGATATTTGGCAGTGATAAATGGAAGGATAAGTCACAAGCTAATCCTAACTGTCCATCCTTTCAGTCACACTCTAGAGCAAAGCTAGGATGCCATGACCTACAGATCTGTCCCATTTCAGTCCAGAAAGGTGCATTTCTCTCACATATAGCTGCAAGTCCATAAAACTAGTTAAACTTCTTTTGGTTTCAGTTTTCCAAAGGACACCTGCAGCACATCCCAGTCCATCCTTTTCTTGTAACAACAGAAGGACGCAGAGTCCTTCACCAGCCTCGTCTCTCAGAGAACACTTTGTTATTTTGTGTGTGTGTGTGTTTATTTAAAAAAAATAAATCTCTTTTAATCTCTGAGTTGCGCAGAACATTACATCAGTAAGCACCAACCTCCTGGCCATGCCAAACTGGAGTTTATCAGCACTCAGTGACCTCTCCAGCTCTGCTACCCCTTCTCCCACTCAGGGCCACGGGCCATGGTTGTTTCCCAGGGAAACAGGGAGTTTCTACAGGGAGTTTGTCACAGGGGAGCTGCACAGGCAAGGGAGCCCCTGGCCTGGTGGTTGTTGAACTTGGTTGCTTTCTAGTAGTTCTCAAATGGCCTTTAATTTATTCCTTGGGTTAAATGGCCTTTAACTTATTCCTTTGGTTTTGGGATTGTTTCCCCCCTGCAAAAACAATTTGTATTTTCTTAGTTGGAGGATTCTTGGTGCATCTGGGCTTTTCCCTGCTGATCCTGTCTCTGATTGTGGGGTCTGGCCTAGACCCCATCGAGTTGATGGGAGTTGTTATTTCCTGAGACCTCAACTTCACAGGTTCACAGAGACATTGCATATATGAAGTTATGTTTGTGCTTTGCAAGACCCATGTTTTCACAAGGAGCCAGTGAATTCAGAAAACTTCAGTTTGGAAGCATCATCCTCCAGCCCCACTGGCAGAGTCACTGCTCCCATTGGCTACAGCTGAATTCACACCAGAGTAAAACAGACACCTCAAAAAGTAACCTCAAAGTAGCTGCTTCTTCCTGAGTTTTCCCACCTGTAAAAAACTGAGCTATACCCTTTGCTGAGTTTCCCGTGCAGTGAGGAGATCCATTATAAAATGAGAGAGAAAGCTGAGAAGAAGCTGCTGGGTTGCAGAGATGGCATCCATGTGGCTGGGTGAGAATTGCCCTGGGTGATGTTCCCTGCTGAGCTATGGCCCATTTGATCTCTGCTTGGCCACTTCAATCTCATGCCACCTCGTACTGCCAGGGATATTTCCTTGGAGTACCTTCAGAGCAATTGCTCCCAGCACATGTGCCCTCTTTGGTCCTGGTCACCTCACACATACACACACATACTCACTTCCCTCGTCAGGAATGAGATAAATTTGATTATACAGCAATATGGTTTCTGTTATGAGAAGGGGAAAGAAAATACCCTGGCTTTCACTGAAAACCCTCGGAGCCAAAGCTTATGTCATGATTTAAATGTTTCGGGGAAAAAAAAAAAAAAAGAGAGAAGTAGGATCTGAGGGTTGCTGCTTGTTCGGGGGGTGATGGGTGGAGGGGTCAGTGGGATCCAGTTTTCACAGGATGAGCTGATAGAGCCGGGTGTGGAGTCTTTCTGCCCTGGCAGGAAGGGGTGTGAAGGGAGGCCCGGTGAAGAGAGCTCGAAGCTGGGTCACTGGGACCTGCTTTTCCAAACCCTTGGGCAGCCAGCCAGCTCAGTGAGGTGGGCTTGGGTGCACCTTGTCACATCTCTGGGCTTTCACACCCCCGAATCAGGGTCTGTTGCTTGTCTTCCATACTTTTTCCTCCTGATTTCTGCCAGGGAAACCACAAGGCAGCAGCAACCTGAGCTAGGTCTGGAGCATTTTCTCCTTCTTTCTGAGCCTCTCCAATCACCCTGCAGCTACGGGAATGGCCTCAGATCTTAATCTCATTGCACAACCCCAAACAGAGGGCCCTGCCACCAGGCTGGGATACTTTCATGTTTCCTTTCTCTCTGGTTTGCGTCATTACAACATCCCAGTCTTCCAGCCTCTCTGAGACGGGGAGTGGGGGGATGTATCCTGTACACCCCAGTGCTGGGGCAGGGGATGCTGGGGAGACCCACCCCAGGCTGCCGTGGGAACCTCTCGGACAAAGCACCTCAGATTTTGGGGCTTTGTAGATTTGTGTGTGTTTTGTGGTGCTGCATCCCCACAGGTGCTGCCCTCCTGAGTGCTTGGACATGTATGGATGGGGATTGGTGTGAATTCCTGCCTATGCTGTTTATGGGTTTGGATCTGGAGGCTGGGACATCTCACTTTGCTCAGGGTCTGTCCCGTACCACAGCAGGTACCTTAGAGCTACCCAGTAGCCCCATAACCCACCAATCATCCCATGACCCTTACCCCATAGCCCATAGGTAAAATCATGGTCAGGTCCTGATCTCAGCCTCTGGGTGTGCAGGTGTATTTGGAGATGTTTGATGAGGACACTTGTGGCTGTGCCTGCATGGAGCAGTGTGGGATCATGTGGCTGCTTAGTCCCACCCTGGCAGGACAACCAAACCCTTTACTCTGGGTTTTTCACGTTGTTGTAACCCAGAGAACAGAGATACAGGATATCCTAAACACTCCTGAGGCCCAGCAAAGCGCTGCTCCTCGAATCCCCCTTGGCAGTGCCCCACACCAGGCTACCCAAGCAGCAGCTTGCAGTGACTCCCCTGTGGCTCTTCCATTGCCTATCCAAACCCAACTGACTGCTGCTCCAGCAGAGGTGCCGCAGTGAAGCCTACCCCACGGAATGAAGCCCACCCCATGAAATGAAGCCCACCTGCATCATCCCACACACAGCTCCTGAGTTCTTGCTCTGTCCCTGGCTCGTACCTGCTGCCCTGCCATACGCTGGATTGTTTTCCAAGTGGAAACATGAGTTGAAGTATTAACTCCACAAGGGCCTTTCCGTGCAATGCACCGGGATTAAATATTTATGTTGGCAAAAAGCATGTAATAGGCAGCTCCAGATCAGAGATAATGAAATTGAGGTGTGTGGAGAAAGAGGGGGGAGAGGCAGGGGGCTTGCAGGAGCAGGCGGGAGAGGGACCCAAGTGGGTTGTAGTATGTGCCTGGGCGATTACTTTTGGTTTTATTAATACTCCACCTGTTTGTGGGGAGCAAAGAGTGCATAAGGGAGTGCAGGAATCAGCCATCGCCATTCCTTGTGTAGGGCAGGGGGAATTGTCATCCAGGTGACTTTAACTTGAAGTTAAGTAGGGGCAGGGACTGTCCTGGAGAAGGTGGCTGGGTGGGGAGCAGCGAGGGATGAGACCCTCTCCATGTCATCTGTGAACAATGCACGTTCCTAAATCATTAATAGGGGTGATATAGGATCCCTGGCTCTTCCAGACCGCTGCAGTCAAGGTTATTTACCGGTGACTGTATCCGATCAGGCAGCAATGTGGTTTGGATTATATGGAGGGTTCCTGATCGGGTCAGGAGGATGCTCATGGCAGCAGGAAGGTCTGTGTGAGCCTCCCTGGCGGGTGTCAGTGAAGAGCCCTGCCAGGATGGGCAGCAGACAAGGTGCTGGAAGGGCGATGGGTGATGAATCCGTTCCTTCACCGCAGGAGGAAAACAAGGAGCGCATGCAATGGCAAGGGTTGCCGCTCTTTCCCAATTCATTATTTTTATGGGACAACAACATCTCCCTCTTTCCACCCAACAACAAATATCGGGGAAGGCGGCGGCGCGCGGAGGGGTGTGAGTCCCGCGCGGTGCTGTGGGACCTTGGCCAGTCGTGGAGCCTCCAGGGAGGAATGAAACGAGGCATGAATGGAGTGTTAGGAGAGAATGGAAACTCTCCACTGGCTCCCAGGCCGGCTCTCTTGCGGGGGGTCCCTTGCTCACGATGACAGCGCTGCCTCTCATAAACACGCATTTCCTCATCCCCGTTTGTTTCTCTCCCTCTTGTGCAATCTCTTGTACCAGACGGGAATGGGAGTGAGTCCCACTGGTACGTGAATGTGTTACAAAAAACCTTCCCACCCTGCCACCAACGAAGTACTGAGAAATAACAACAGGGTTTAAAAGGGGGAAAAAAAAAAAAAAAAAAAAAAAAAAAGAAAGAAAAGAAAGATGGGGGGAGCTGGATGGATTTGCTACCGGCCATGAGTTATTGTTCTGAGCAAGAGATCAAGAGATATCCCATCTCCAGCCTACTCAACACCAGTCCCTGTGATGGGTTGTTTCATCTGGGGTGTGTGAGCAGTGCTGCTGCTGCCAGTCCCTGGGCATGGGCCAGGCTGCCCTTCCCAATCCACACTGCTGGGATGGAGCACAGCCAGGAGGGGATGTGATGCTAAGGTGTGAGAGCAAGGGCAAGTGCCACCATCAGGCACATCTTCTAGACTGATGGTGGAAGTTATAGGGTCTCCTGGATCTGTGCTGGTGGAGCAGGGATGGTGAATCCATATGTTAGCTGTAGCTGCAGAGGAAGAAAAGCTGCTGGGAGTTGAAGTCCTTCCCCACAGAGGGAAAAACAAGGGGAGAAACCTTCAGGGAGCAATGCCTCTGGAGCAGCACTTGCAGGAGAGCAGGGCTGGCTCCACACCTTTGGAA